TCCAAAATACATTCAAATTGCTGCTTATTTACCTACCAAGAAAATTTATGGCTTTGGCGAGCACCTCCACAACACTCTCATGGTCTGTACGCTTCTGAATACATCTTTCATACTTCATTAGTTGGTAAATAAGTCTGAATAACGCTGAATATGGCAATTATCTCAGTAATTCTGGCCCACTGATTGAATCTTCTGCAAGTCTTAACATTCTGTATGGCCCTAGCTACTCTTCCATTGGGCGAACGAGTAATATTGGTTAGCGCTTCCGCAAAAAAATGCTTTTTTTGCAGCATAATTTAACAAAATACGTGACATGGGGAATGTTGGCGCGTGATCAACCTCCTGACGCATATAGACCACAACAAAATCTGTACGGCGTGCATCCGTTTTATTTGGCTCTGGAAAATGATGGTAATGCGCACGGAGTACTCATCTGGAACAGCAACGCACAAGTAAGAAAAAAAAATTGAAAAAAAGACAGAAATTAATTTTGAAATGTCGGAGTTGAGTTTTGCGACGTTAATTAATTTACCTGAGTAACTTGATTAATTTACCTGATTAACTTGTAAAAATCCAGTAAAAAGAGGCATAATTTATCAGTTAGATTCACCAACAAAATTTGAAAAGATATCAGTCAACAAAACTCGGAAAGATAAAACAAGGCAAAGTATTGGCTTGTTCCAGCTGTAAATCAGTCCCCCATTTTGTAGATGTTGAACTATTAGTTGAGGTATTTGTTATGTATCAGAAAAAGGTCAGAACCCACAGCAGGATGAGGAGAATGCGTATAGACAAACAAGGGGAACTGAAAAACAAGGCAAAACACAATAAAGCTTATCAATTTTCAGCAATAAAATTTTAAACAAAATGGTTTTTTTTGATTTTTGAGGATTACATTTACAAGCGAAACAAAACATGCTGAACGCGGTATGATATAATTAGCGAAATAATCGCTGATTTGGGGGATGACTGTTTTAATTGGTGAAAAAACTGCTTTTCGGAAAAAGCTGCGAGAATTAGAGGAGAAAGGTGGGAAGCTGATCGTAATATTTGCTATTCGACGGCAGAAACAAAACGTTTTAGGAGGAACAATTTTTCGCTTATTTAACACACTTTGTGCAAATTTTTTTTCGAAAAATTCACCAGAATTTGGATTTTCAGGAAGTAACTCTTGGTCCATGGCCGCATCTTGTCTATCGGACGATTGGCGGCATGCTCGACATCACATTCTTTCCCGGCCCGAAGCCAGAGGATGTCATTAAGCAGTATCTCACTTTCATCGGAAAGCCCTATCTTCCGGCTTATTTTGCATTCGGCTTCCAGGTATTTAAGCAATGCAGGTTGTTGTGAATTCAGAAAATTCATTT